GATATGTGTACTCTTTTTCCTTCACTAAGATTTTTCCCATTGGATTTTTCTTGGTAAGGTTTTAACGAGGCACACTATCTATTAAAACATGGACATCCAAGGGGGAGTGTTGTAAAATAGATGTCCACATACATATATTTTGTGGTAACATATATGTACACGATATACACTATGTGTAAGATGAATATACACACAACAAACAAAGTGTTGTAACCTAACCATCCATATGATATACTTGGTGCCCAAAGTGTATACATGGCAAGAAGATGTCCATGTATCACACTTGGTGCCCAAGAATATACAACTATATATACCCCTCTTCTTGTAACAAAGTGTAAAAAAAAAAACAGAAGGAAAGAGTAAGTGAAAAGAAACATTCAATAATAGAGAAAAACTAATACTACTATTTCTACTTTGTGTCTATCTCTTTCTCTCCTTTTCTTCTTGTCATTTTATTTTATTACACATACTTCATTTTATAACACTTAATATAATATAGAGGGAGTACATACTCAAGACGGGCCATTTTTAAAAAAAATTAAAACTTTCTTGTCACCCTTAATTCAATCACCCGAGCTTCCAGATTTGGGATTAGACTTTTGTTTTGCTTTTGTTATAGTGTAGTTACTTTTTTCATTTGGATCCGTTCGAACAGTTGAGTTGGTCTTTTTTATTAGACCATTTTTCTTTTTCAATTAAATAAAAGGGAAAATTACATATATACACATTTTTATTTACCATATTTTCTGTTATTTTTTACCATTCTAAAATATTACAAAAATTCCTTCCTTTTCCCAAAATTCCAAATCTTCCGGATACATTACTCCAACTTTACAAACCCACGTTTCTCCACTCCTAATTTCACTCCTTCAATCTCTCCCTTATTTCACTCCCATAATCTAATCAATTACATCCTTCATCCTAATTTGAATTTCAAATGGTTTCTTTCTCTCTCTATAGTCAATCGATTTCAAATCATTGAATAGGTAGTTTTCATCTTCTCCATTCTATTGTTCTTTGATTTATTTTTTAAAATTTTCATCAATTTCTTGACGATCATAAATGATCTGAAACTAGATCTAATGTTTTCATCATCCATTAGCAATGGTGAATCAAAGTTGCTCTTCATCTTCTAAAGCATAGGTAGATAAAAACCCCAAAAAGAGGGGTCAATAATTGGCTCCTACAATTTCTTGACCTTCTTTACCTAAGGTTAATTTTTCGATCTTCTTTTATTGATTTATGAACTTGTTTATGTTAGTCAATAAAAAAATGATACATTAATGATAAAATTCATGTTCCATATTGTAATGTAGCAATGTTTAAGTTTAATATGTTGATACACTAAACCCTAATTTTGTTCATTATTTGACTAGTTGTTGTAATTATATAAAGTTATAAACTATGTAATGTATAAAATATTGTAATATGCTTAGTAATGTATCAGTCACAAGATGTCACGTCATTGAGACAAAAATGATGGTCAATGGTGTATCAGTCAAAACTTGTATTATTCAATGTATATCTGATACATTAGCATCATGTTAAATGGTGTATCAATCAAAATTTGTATTAGTCCGTGTGTATAAGATACATTATATCCAGTCTTAATAATCATCAGATACAAAAGTTTGGCTACTGATAAGCATAAACAAGTGATATAGCCTGTAAGTATTAGTATGATTTTGTTTAGAATTATAATGTAGTTTCTTTATTTTTATAATGTATCTTCTGCATTTGAAGAGACTGGTTTATAGTTGTGCATTTGTTGAGTTCCTTAGTGATGAAATCCATATTTCATCCAATGATTTTCGATAGGATTACATCCGTACACGATATGCGGCCCTATTATGAAAGTTCGGTACTGAAAAGGCCAAGGCAAAATACGTTAGTGAAATTGAGGATCCACCAAAGTCTGAGAGTCAATTCACAACACTAGCTCAAGAGGATTTGGTTAATGTTGAATAGAGATTATCTATTAGTTAGACACCTTTTTAGAGTGTTATGATTTTTAAGATACATTAACTCTAGTTTTAGAGTGTTTGTTTTTATTGTTTTAAGATACATCTTTCTACTCAAGTTTTAGAGTATTTCTCTAAAACTTGTTTATTTTGACTTTAACTTTCATTATATTTAGTTGTTATTTATGGTATGGATTATCTTATACATTTGTCTTATATAATATGATACAAAAGATGTCATAAAATTAAGTATCGAATTCATTCATGCATACACATACAAAAAAAATTCCCATTAGTTCTAGTTAGTTGCTGATACATTTGATACCTAACCAATGCAATGTACTTGATAACTTGATTGTTGATTCATTCATGCATATACTTGATAACTTAATTGTAGTTAGTTCTAATCCATTTATGTTGATACATTGGACACTTAGTTGTAGTTAGTTGACGGTTCATTCATGTATCTTATTGATAACCTAATTCTTATTTATTGTGATACATTTATCGACACACTTTATTTCATCTTACATACATCATTTTTCCATAACCTTATCGTATCAGATACATTATTATCAACTACAAAATGATGCATTATATAAAAAATGTATCTTATCAACTTGAAATCGATTTATGGTATGAATCTTACGAAATCGATTTCAACTTCATTTGACGCCTAACCAATGCAATGTACTCGATAACTTGATTATTGATTCATTCATGTATATACTTGATAACTTAGTTGTAGTTAGTTGTTGATACATTGGACACTTAGTTCTAGTTACTTGCTGATTCATTCATATATCTAATTGATAACTTAATTCTTATTCATTTTGTACATTTATAGATACACTTTATTTCAACTTACATACACCTTTTTTCACAACCTTATTGTATCAGATACATTATTATCAACTACAAAATGATACATTATATAAAAAATGTATCTTATCAACTTGAAATCTTCCACAATTGCATATTTATCTTTCAAGGCAAACAATGTATCTTCTTCCAGAATCAAAGATTGAATAAAGATATTCAGATGATGCAACAACCTATTAACATTGAAAAAAATTAGTGATACATTCCATAAAACAATTATTACTATGTACCAACCACAAACAATCAGACAACTAATTTATACTTAATATCATATACAAAATATAAATATAATTTGATACATACCCTCATTTTCGAATATTTTGATATTTTTACAACAAATTACATGTATAATGTATCATCTATAAAATACAGTATTTCATAAACTCAATAAGATACAAAAAATAGTAATGTATCATCTTAACATTTGGTCATGAACAATAATTTAAATTAATACTACATGTATCTGATATATATTATAACTATTACATAGTAATATGTCGAACTCTAAGTAAACACTTTACGTGCAAAATTTACGTATTTAATGTATCTAATTAATAGGAATATAATGCGTATACATTTATACAAGATACATAAATACTAATGTATCACGATTGATCTAGTCATCTCGAAAATACAAATCAAAAATCAAATTAACAACACAATATATGTAATTTCATACCTCTTATTGTCAGATCTATTTTACTCTGAAATTAAAGCTCTAATCTATTTTATATATTTCAAATTCAGACTCGTGTTTTTTTTCAGATTCCTGAATGTCAGATCTATTTTTTTTCTCAGATTCTTGAATGTCTCAACAAATTCAAAATATTCATGATGTATCTTCTCAAAATTTTTGATAATTTTGAATCAAAATTGAAAGAATCTTCAACGAACTGGGAGAAGAAATTTGAAATTCAACACTTATGTATCGTTAATAACTCACCTCGCTTTCCTAGATTCCTGAATGTCTCAACAAAATAGATGTATTCATCATGTATCAACAATTATTTTCAACTTTTTTAAATCTATTACGATTTGGGTGAGAACTGAGAGAAGAAAATTTGAATTATTTGAAATGGGCAGATTTGGAAGAGAATTGAGAGAATAAAATTTGAATTGTTTAAAGTTGGGCGGATTTGAAAGAGAATTGAGAGAAGAAAATTTGAATTTTGAATTGATTGAAGTTGTTACGATTTGGGAGAGTTTGACATCAACTTGATTAGCGTGATTTGGGGGACTCACATTCAATTTTATAGTACGTTTTCTTTAAAAGCGTAACTGAATTTGTTTTAATCAATCAAATTTAGTGTATCCAGCTCGTTTGTTATGTATTTGGATAGCACTAATTTTGGAGATTTTTGTAAATTGGAAAAGAGTAGGGATAAAATGCAATTTAGGTCCTTACACTAAGGATTTATGTAAGTTATACTAAATAAAATGGCCTATGTGGCCCAATTTCAATTTTTAATAAAATGTTAGATGTATCTCTATTCTCTAGGCAAGGGAAATTGAGTTGTTTCAACCCATAGATAGAGCCATGAATATATAAACGCAAAGACCGTGACAATTGACAAGTTGTGCTGAAAATGAATTTACATGCAAATATAAATCTCTCTTGTGCACTGGTAGCGTCTTTTGAAGTTTCCATAGTCACTCCTTAAAAGATAAATTGAGAAATTTCATCCTGTTGACACTAATTCTGCAACTCTGATCCAAAGACTGCATAAAATGCAACAAGAACAATGTTGTTGCAATAAAAACTTTCATTTTGCAGCAAAATAAATAAGTAGAAACATGTGCACTAGCAACAACAGGCTGCTGTTTGACAGTTCAATCTGGGGGTTTATCCAAAGAAATAACAACACTCCTCCACAGACAACCTTTCCTTTTCCCTAGATGATACAATAAATACTTACTTTGTTAATTTTACAGCTAATGATGATACCACAAACCCAGACCCTGCAGAAGTACTATTATCTATAGCTTCAAAGCTCCAATAGAGAATGTATACACTCATTGGCGAACTCATTAGGACACAAATTCAATTTTGGTTCATATCAATTTGATAGCAACATCACAAAAACTGTCCATCCAGCAGCAGAATATAAAAGACACCACCACAACCATTCAGTAAACCTATTTTTTTAGATTAATTTCTTTTTGGTAAAATAAAAAAGTAGTATGATAGTCCATCTCTATTGAACCAGATTCTGATGTTTATTGTGCATTTAACAAATGAACAAGATACATGCTCACTTCCAATTCAAGAAACATTTCACCGCAGGGGTTGCTGATTGTAATGGTTCTTCTCCTTTTTCTTTGCAGCAGCTAGCCTTGCACTCCTTGCTGCAGCCTCACTGGCCACAGCTTTGGCAGCAGCATCTACCTCCTTGCTTGATTTTTTCTTCTTAAGAGATGCCATTTTCTTTATCTTGTCCTTCGCAGCAACAGTAGGTGCATCTTCTCCTTTCTCGGTTGGCACTATTTCATTGGTCCCATTTCCAAGCTCAACACCATTGGATTGATCATGTTGCTCTTTGGACTCCTTTGATGATTTATCTTTCTTCTTCTTCTTCTTTGCACTCTTGCTCTCCCCAGGAGCATTATCATCCTTCTTAGCCATCTCTCCATTGAGTTTTTCCACCTTATCCTGTGCAGCACCTGCAAGTGGAATGGAGCACCCAGTCACTTTGGAATAGTCCATACATTACCCAAGCATATTTGGAAAATAGTGAAAGATAGCACATACCACATTAACAATTCCAATCCAGAATGTATTATAAGGATACGCAAGTAACCACCATATTAGAGTTCCACATATTTGTAAAAATGTCACAAAATGATTACACTTACCAATTACCAAAGAAGCATACAACTTTCAAGGCTCACCAGAAGAAACATGCTTTGATTGAGGGAGTAAAACACAAGAACAAGAAAAAGAGAGAATAAATGCCAGATGACATAATAGATAAAGCTGAGCATCTTTGCAGAGGCACCCAAATGTTCTATCCTTGGTGAATTTCCTTGATATTTTCACGGCAATGCCATGGTTGTGGGGCAGCAGGGATTTGTTAGAAAGAAAAAGTAAAATAAAAGGAACAGAAAAGAGCCCAAATTGCCCCTGTATTTTCCGCCAACGAACACTTTTGCCCTCTGTCAATAATGCGGTTGTTTTAGAAAAAATAAAAATATATTTTAAAAAAAAATTGTAATGTTGACACAGGGCAGAAAATTTTGCATTCTTATTTTTTTAATAGTTCTGTTAACTGAAATTTGAAATAAGGGCATAAATGTGCCTTTTGGTTACAGCAAGGTCATAAAACTGCCCAACTTTCAACAGAGGGTAAATGTGCTCCTCGGCAAAAAGTACCGGGGCAATTTTGGCCCTTTTCCAATTACTTTATTCTAAGCTACTAGCGCAGGATCCACTTTTGTGTGAACATGAGTTGAGGCATTCGAGATGCATATCAGTTCTTGCTTTTGATAGATATTTCACTATAACAAATTAGATGCAGGGAGAGGGCAGAGCAGTACAATGAATACAAATCAGAAGTGATACAATAGAAGAATATGAAGGCAGTCGACAAACATATCTTGTATTTAAGTATTTTTTATGGAGCAAGAAATTTTTAAGAATTTCTCATATGAAATTGTCCAATGATTTGCTTATGATTGGATGGGAAAAAGTTTGAGTTGCAATCATAAGCAAATTACCTTGTGAATCATCATTGCTCTCAGCTTTGTTTAATCCAAATTCAGCAAGCATAGCTTCAAGCTCAGCAAGTTCCTTTTTCTTAAGTTCCTTCTTTGAAAGCTGCCTTTCCGACTCTTTGGGGACCTCATTTTCAGCAGTCTTCTTAACAATTGGCACCTTTTCCTCTGGTAAAGCAGGTTCCTGCTCATGTTCTTCCTCATTATCATCATCAGCTTCATCAAGCCCTTCTTCTTCACTTTCACTTTCCTGATGAACAGATTACAAGACTTAATGCAGATAAGCTGCTGAACAAGGGAAACAATAGAATGAAAAAGGAACCTTCATTTTTGAGACGCTATAACTTGATCACCAAAAAATAAAATGTTTTTCTTTTAGATAGAAGGAAAATATCATATAGGAAGAGAAGAAAAATTTTGTTATACCAAACTCGTCATAGTTCCAAAGCCCTTCATTACAATGTAAACAAGAAATAAAATTGGTTTTGTGAAGCAGCTTTAAAACCAACTATGGCCATCTTCAAACAGATATCAAGGAATATATTTCAGTTAAAGCAAACACTAACTAGCTATTGATAATCCTTCATGTCACAACGGAAACCAAGAACCACTGGCAACATGAAAGAAAAGGCAAGAATAAGAAGTTTATTCATGGGACTACAAATGAAAGATAGTTTATCAATCAAAAGCTCAGCGTGGAAAAAGGAGTAAGAAAGAATGATGGATACAACAACAGGAAAGAAGCTAAGGACAGAGAATCGAGAAGGCAAAGATCATTAAAAAAATTGGGCCCGTGACAAGACTAGAGTATGCTCTAAAAATTAAGTTGAACAGCTTCTCAGGACACCACCACCACCTAATGTCTTAAAAATTAAAGTCATCTCTTCAACAGCAATGCGAGGTACATCCATTCGTGCTTGGGTTTAAATCCTGTTAGCAAAATACTCCAAGACAAAGACGAAGCCTGTAATTGTACATAAAACCCAACTTTGGTTTTCCTTCTAAAGGTGACTGTTGCTCGCACCTGGATTCGACCGGGTATGTGCTACCTCCCAGCAGCCCAGGTACCAGGTAAGTCTGACACCAAGGCTTAGGTAGACAGGAGGACTCACATAGTTTTTTTTTCCAATATTGTATTGAACCTTGATCTCCAAGGTTTGCACTCACTTCACAGACCATTAGAGGTCAATAACCTTGGGTGCCAAGAAATCCAACTTATGCTAATGAGCATATAAGAAAATATGGGCAACTTATCTAGATTTTTTTTCCTTAAGGCCATCAGATATCGCCCATGTAATCCAGAAGATCATGAATGCTACATTGAAATGAGGAAAATGCTATTAATATCCGAACCATACAGGGAGGTCGCATACATAGTGTAGTCCTTTTCTGGACCCTGAACACTGCATGCTTCATGCACCAGATTCTCCCTTTTTATCAAAATCATAGAGTAGAAAATAATTCAACCCACTGGATTTTATTGGTTTCCAAATCGAGATAACAATAAGTTAGCCTTCAAATAGTACTAGTGCATGATACATTTATGTAATTGGAGTATAACATAGCCTTCAAATAGTACTAGTGCATGATACATTCATGCAATTGGAGTATAAGAAAAACAACAATTAAGACTTGAAATCTTCTCGAGTCAATGTCATGTTATCACCGTACCATACTGAAACATTGTACAGCCCTGTTTCCAACATCTTCTTCCAGTTGTTATCATGTGATAAATTTCTTGGAGTTAACTGTCATCTTCACTGACCAGTTAAGTCTTAAAAATTTGGATAAACAGCTAAAGACTCTAACCTTATCAAAAATGAATTGATGAAGAATCCAGAACACAAAATATAGGTGCAACATCCGATACAGATAAAATTGACTGAAGACTGCATAATATGGAGCTAAGACACATAACTGTGATATCTGAATACAAGATAAAATTATTCACAAGAGACAAATGCAGTAGCAGGCGTGAAGTGTCCCAGGAAAACTAGCACCAAACAAACTAAGACACAAATGAAAACTAAAAGATAAGAGAAATAAAATTAACTACACTCAGCAACATATCAACTACACTCTAAGCGCGTAAACATCTCTTCACCAAACAAAGGAAAACGAGTAGAGCAAACACATTATCCTTCTCATGATACTGTGATTCCAGTTGACCTTACTGACCAGAGAAATACTGTTACACTGCTGCTCTACACTCTAAAAAGCTTGACGCATAAACATTGTGTACACACAATGTTTTTTTATTGTTTACAGACACACACACAATGTTTAAGTCACATATATACAGACACATAAATGTTACACACACAACATATCATGACGATGTGGACAAATTATCTATGTCAAATCGACTCATCTACCAGCATAGAATTAAAAAACACACATTATAACTCTAAAGCAAAAACAAAGAGTAAGATGAAAATATGTAGCAATCATTAATAAAGTATTAAACTAAAAAGGGTGTCCAAATAAGGATGAAATGCTAATTAGAAATATGAAGAATTGACACCTGGAGTGGAGTTACAGTTTCCTTAGGCTTGTGATGATGTTCATTAGCAGTATCAGGTCCCCAAACAGCCTGGGGCGGAGCTGTTGTAGCGTAATAATCATCATCATCTTCATCATCAACATCTGCCCAGGATTTGACAGTCAATGGGGCTGGAGCCCAGAAAACAGGGTCTGGATCCTTGTCAGTGTGCTTGACATTTTTAGAAACTGAACCTTCAGCGTTCTTTCCCTTATCAGACTTCTTCTTCTTCCTTAGGGTTCCAAGAGCAGCGAAAACGTTATTGTTGCTTATGACCAACTGTTCATCCTTCCTGTTTCCACCTCCCACCATTGTGTAAATGTAAAACACAAATCCCAGTTAAAACCCAACAATCAAGATTTTCTAAAAGAGATAAGATAAGATAAGAGTAAAATTTGACAAAAAGAAAATCGATAAGATTTAACGGTAATCGTTTTCCGATTTAAGGAGAAGATGGTGGATCGTAGCAGATTTGGAACACAAATTTATACAGATGGCTTCGTCCCGTCTTTAATCAATTTAGGGTTTCGATGAGCATAAGAGAGGAGCCAGACAAAAGAGGGACGAATTGCACATAGTTAAATGTACCACTCCCAACATAAACATAATCACATCCTCTTTTCTCATTAATTTAAACTATAATTATAATTAATTCGATTATAACAATACCTTATTTTTACTACACCAAACAAATATTTGTGCAAACAATCTATCTATTTAGAAATTATTATTCCACTAATTATTTTCTGTTATAAAATAATAAAGCAAGAAAAACAATGTTATGGAGAAAGTATATAAAAGCGAGAAGGCATAGCATTTAATAGTTAATGTGTCTCGTTAAAATTATAATAGAAAAAAAGCTTGAAAAAATTAAATGGGACAATGTGCACCGTCTTTTGACAATTGTACTTGATAGAGACTTGGTGAAAAAATTAGTCATATTTTCACTTGAACGAATCTATTATTTGTTGAAATCACCATTATTTTGGAGATCGTGTATGTAGAAAATTTTTGGTGAAATGTGTTTCATTCTATCTCCATTTAATTGGGCTATGTGTGTTGATAAGTCGATATTTTATCAATTTATTATACCATATTCATGAATTATTGCTACGTTTTAATGCTAATTGAAGTGATTTCAGGCTTTAGTTCTCTTATGTGCAGACATTTCTTGAAAAAAGAAAGTTTAAGAATTTGAAACTTAAATTCACTGAAACACACCTGGCAAGAAACCATCGTCCCACACGAGTCAACTGGCGTCTCGCAGGTCAAACACTGACTGAAAATGGAGGAAATAGTCTAAGCATCGACAGTTAATTGGCACAAAACAATTCAATAGTGGCATCTCCTCAGTCAAACACAAGTTGGAATTGGAGGAAACTCTCTAAAGCATCGGCGATTAACTGGACAATTCAATATTACAGTTCCATCGATCCAAGCGCAGGTGACTAAAGGAAGAAATGTTGAAGCGGTAGTGCAACCAGCGCTGGACACTTCTTCTCACGCCCCGAGGCTACCCCTGGACGTAAACACGGGACCTAGGATCACGTGTGACCCCAAGCTAACCCCCATCTGGCATATCATAAGCAAACTGAACAAATCTATGAAAAGATAAACTAATGTGGAAGCTAAATCAAGAGATAACTGAATAATGAGGAATACTCAATACTGGTATGATTATATATAAATTCTAAGAGTTTAGTGATACTGAACAATCACTCAAAAACTAAAGTTGAATCTAAAACTATGTCTGAAAAGTCTCTAACTGAATAGAGTTGTTGGGACATGCCCCCATCTAATCCTAACAAAACTGAAACCGAAATGAAAGACTAAATCTGAAAACATGTCTATTGTCCTCGAAGTATGAGGACTCACCACTAATGCTGCTGAATATGGATCGGGAACCAATCTATGCATGATCTGAATGCTGAGAACCTGAACCTACATCATGAAAAGATGTAGCGCAGAGTATGCGTCAGTACTTGGAAGGATAAGATGGTGGATCATAGCAGATTTGAAACACAAATTTATACCGATGGCTTCATCCCGTCTTTAATCAATTTAGGGTTTCGATGAACATAAGAGAAAAGAGGGACGAATTGTACATACTTAAATATACCACTCTCAATATAAACATAATCATACCCTCTTTTCTCATTAATTAAAATTATAATTATAATTATAACAATACCTACGCTACAACTACACCAAACAAATACAACCTCACATCAATTATCAATTATGAACTAAATAGTAGTAAATATTGTGCCAACACAATCTATTCCTTATTTTTAAAAATAAAAAAAATTATTGTGCAAAAATTCTATTTAGAAATTATTATTCCACTAATTATTTTCTGTTATAAAATAATAAAGCAAGAAAAACAATGTTTTGGAGAAAGGTATATAAAAGCCAGAAGGTTTAGTATTTAATAGACAATGTGTCTCGCTAAAATTATAATAGGAAAAGCGCTTAAAAAAATTAAATGGGACAAAAACCTTACAAGGGAAAAAGAGTATCGTGTGGATTAACCCTGTGTGCTGATAATATTATCCAAAAAATTGAATATTTGAATCACAATTTTGTGCACCATCTTTTGACAATTGTACTTGATAGAGACTTGGTGAAAAAATCAGTCATATTTTCACTTGAACGAATCTGTTGTTTATTGATATCACCATTCTTTTGGAGATCGTGCGTGTAGAATATTTTGGTGAAATGTGTTTCGTTCTGTCTCCATTTAATTGGGCTATATGCATGTTGATAAGTTGATATTTTATCAACTTATTACCCCATATTCATGAATTATTGCTACGTTTTAATGCTAATTGAAGTGATTTTAGGCTCTAGTTCTCTTATGTGCAGACACTTCTTGAAAAAAAAGAAAGTTCAAGAATTTGGAGCTCAAATTCACTGAAACACACCGGGGAAGGAATCGACATCCAACACGAATTAATTGGCATTAAGTAATTCAATATCGGCATCTCGCCAATCAAACGCAGGTTGGAATTGGAGGAAACTCTCTAAAGCACCGGCAATTAATTGGACAATTCAATATTACAGTTCCGTTGATCCAAGCGCAGGTGATTGAAGGAAGACACGCTGAAGCGGCATCGCGACCAATGTTGGGCACTTATGGATTGGCATTCTATCCATTTCGCGCAAGTCAATTACGAAAGCTTAAGAGCAATAATGTACTTGATGATGAAAGTTCTTCCATTGAAAGATTCCAAGAACAATATTGAAATTTGGGTATATTCTTATCTTCTTCCCGATTGGGAATAGTTTTCATATATTTTTTTATACATAACTAGTCATAAAGGGTAGAAAGGAAGAGATAAAAAGTAGTTAAGAAAGTTATTACTTGGAAGAAAACTCAAATTGTGTACATCTCCAAGCTTGGAATTTAGTTTTGGTAATCTACTATGTTTGAAATAGAGTTTTTCTTTATGGGTATAATCTTTATTTCTTTATTTATGAGTAGTTAAATTCGTAGCTAGGAGTGTGCGCAAAACGTGGACATAAAATTTAATAGGTGTTGGTTGATTAGCTCTAAAATTGGTTATTAAGCATGAATCTATTGTTGTCTTGAAATTTTAATCTAAAGATTAATGGTTGCAAATATTGATTGAATTGTCTAACACTATTTTGGCTTGAGAAAGTAAAATAGAGTTGGGTAAAACTTCAGTAGTGGAACTCATGAAATTAGTCGTTATATTAGAGTTAGAAATAGTATGATCTGACTAATTTCTCGTTTAAGGGTAGATCTAGAGATAGTCTACACACTCAAGTAATGTTTGGTGCTTTGATTGTACGTAATGATCTTGGAGTTCGAAAGAATCCAAGAGATATATGTTTGGTAGTTCGGGAGGATATCAAGTATAGCTAATACCAAGCGATATTCATGTATAGACTCATTTGAACTTGATCAATTTTTGCATATTCTATTGAAACCCCATCATAATGCACACACCCCTAGTCGTTTCCATCTTGATGAAAACTCGTTTGTGTTGATTTTCTTGCTATTGTTACTTGTGATTGAGTAGTTTTAAGTGTTTCCCAATTTCTCATTTTTATATATACTTGTTCGAGAAAGCTTGTGCTATATAATATAATATTGAATTAAATAATTAATTGGAACCTAATCTTCTCTATCAGTCCTAATTATTCGATCCCAACCTCATATGTCAGATATTGTTTTTTGCATACGACCGTTTATGCCTTAAATGCAAGGCATAATTAAGCGTTATCACATATTCCTCTCTCCATTGTTTGATAGAGTTGCATCATCGACATATAATATTGTTGGAATCACTTCAAATACATTCTTGGCTTGCTTTATAAACTAATTTATCTTTGTATAATTTAATTTTCATATACAATAATATCGTATGACTGTAACTCCTCACAAAAATAAAAACAAGTTTGGGTTGAATATTTTGTTGTTCAAATGAATACTCTATTTATTAAAAAATGACAATATTTGTTATGACAAACACATTCATATCAAGATTTACAATACATCTTATTTCAATATCTCCATATAGGAAAACTATGCCAGACTCAAATTTATAACAAGATATATAAATACATCAATTAAATAAAGATATGATATTTTAAGACTAAAGAATTTTGCAAGTTTCTCATTTCAACTTCTTTAAGCAGATTATCTATTCTCTTTGAATTTTTTTCTAGAGTTTTAATAATATTCAAGTGATCAACTTGCTTAACAATATGAAAAGTTCTAGTTTTAATAAAATTAGTAGAATAAATAAAGTTGTAGATCATCATTATCAGGATGAATTATCTCAATTACATGATTTGAAAATTACGCCCTTAGCATAATTATATATTTTGAGTAAGCAATTTACAAATATTAACTACAGGCTGACAACAAATCTACACGTGATAACCTTGTCTTTCATATATGCTTCTATTTAAGACGTCATTTTGTTGGGTTTATGATCTTTTTTCCCTTCCTATGTGGATAAATAAAAGTTTTATTAGGACTAGCCCACTTTAGCCCATAACCCAAAATATTATGTGGCATATATAAGGCTTATTTGGTCTTATTTTCAGAAACACAAGAGAGAAAAATCAAGAGAGTTTCGTTTTAGAGATTGAGAGAAAAAGAGAAAAAATCCCCTTTTTGCTTCTGGAAATTTTCTGCTCAGGCCGTCCGCTTCAGACAGAGTTTGCCGCTTCGTTAACCGTTGGATCGTGCTCAAATTTGAACTGGAAGTTCTCAGCATCTGGTTCTTGCAATTCAACGGTGGAGATCGGATTTGGAGGTCTTTAGCTTCTGATTTTGGGGCGTGAACAGTAGCGCATTTTGGGTGAAATCTCTTCTTTAATTCTCTAGTTTTGGTGCAATCTTGATTTGTTATTGCTCGTTGTTTGACACTTGTTTTGTGGCCAATTTTGGAGAACAATTTTGTAACTCTTGGTGTTTATAGTGGAGCTTTTGGTCCTGTGGTTTTTTACTCTTCACATCGAAGGGTTTTCCACGTAAATCGTTGTGTCTTGTGTGATTGGGTTATTCTTATCTTGTTTCTTTAG